CCCACTTCGTACTTTAGATTGATTCACAATATTTATTCATATAATTACTCGGATAAATTATTATCTAAGAATATTTATTAGTTAACCCTCAATTCCTTGCAAGGTTAACCCTTTAATCCCAATTGGAACCCCAATTCCTTGCAATGTTCCTCATGGTATTAAGCAATGAACGCAATAATTTAAGCATTCGTAATTAAATACACATCTATTCCTAGCATGCATACCAATTGTTGTCCTACCCCCTTTCAAGATCAGAACCCCAATATTTCTATCTAGGGTTCTAACCCTCAAACTATTTTCAACTATCAGATTGATTAGTTCTAATAAAGAAAATAGAAAATACGCACAAGGTAGAGACAAAGATAATTATATAAATGAATAAAACTAAATCAATCCATCGTAACAAGGGTTCACATAGGGCTCGTGACCCTAACTACAATAAAGATAACTAGCCAAGCATAATCATGGCTAAAAATAATCCAATATTCAAAAGCATAAAATTAAGGAGAAAAGAGAAGAAGAACTTGATCTCAAGAATCCCCTCAGAGCTCTGTCGTCGTCTCTCTTCAGAAGAATAGGTCTCCATCCCTAATTCTGTCAAAAGGATCCTATTTATAATCCTCTTTTCTTTTTTCCAAAAATACCCCCAGAACAGCACGGTATAATTTTCCGCAAACCGGCGCTAGCTGGCGCCAATGTGGTGCTACTTCGCGCCGCGCTTCTGTGCCAAATTACAAAGTCGGAACCGAGTCTTCATAACATGGCGCCAGTTGGCGCCATCCTCATTTGCTTTGAGCGCCTAATGGCGCCATTCTCCTTTGCTTTGGGCCCCTAATGGCGCCATCCTCCTTTGCTTTGGGCACTGGACAACTTCATGGCGCCACTTAGCATGAGTTTGGCGCTAAGTGGCGCCAAGTCATTTCCATTTATACCATGCAACACGATGCAACATGGAACTTTCCTCTGTGTGGAGTCGTGTCAATAGGTTTTTTATCATTTGTAATTTTCCCGCGTTTTACCTGTAAAAACACAATTAATAGGTGAGAAATATTATTGAAAAGAAAGATCAATATAATTAGCAAATATGTATTTAAGTTGCTCTTTTATGACTCACTTCTTATCAATTTTAACACAGAAAATCACACTTGCCAGAGGCACATCAGTGAGTTATCACTATTCTACTGGCCAGAGAAATGCAGGACGTACGTCTACAACCCCACAATAAGTATAAGGAACACCGCTTGCACCCCACCCACAACCTCACCATCTTGTATGACTCCATATACTCAGGCTTACCGTATAGGTAGAACACCACATGCATATCATAAAGGCACTCGCATATAACAACTCAATAGCATTTATCAAAACAATACATGAAAACAACATCATGCATATAAACCATCCCCCCATGGGACATGGTGGAACCAACAATAGCAAAATCGAGGACACGAAAGCTTACCTTGCAAGCTGACTACCCAATGCCAATAGTCCACACAACTCAAATCCAATACACAGCAGAGTGACAATCTGTTTTGGACCAACATTATATCAATATCCATACTCTTAAAGCACGCAATAAAGACAACACTTTTTCTTTATGTTTTACGTCTTTAGGCTTCTCACAAAGCCACAAGCCCTAAAACACATAGGTTCTGACTTAGTTAATTAATACAGAAGTTCAACTTCATCAAATTAGGGTCCACAAACCCCAAACATCAGTTCTGGATGAACAGTAAGCCACTGTTCCTCGAAAATCCAGAATATCCGAATATCTGTCGGGGATATATCCAGATATCAATATTCGGATATGCATATCCGGATATCATATCCAGATATCATATCCAGATATCCATATTCGGATATCAAAAGACTCCATATCCGGATATCCATATCCGGATATTTCGCGACAGAATGCAGTTTCTGCATTTCGCGAAGATATCCATCCAATGTTCCATTTTTAACACTTCAAAACGCCAAAGCATGCATTTTTACTCTGTACAAGGTTCATATATCAGTTGGTTACTTGTTTAACTCCTTAAACATACCAAGACACCTCTTTTAATCATCAAAACACATGATCAAGGTTGAGTCACTTACCCAAAGCTTAAAACATAACAAAAGGTTGCTCTCGGAGCTCACAACTAGCTCCCAAGATTCTGACTTCCCAAGGAAAACGAAAATGATGCTCAAGGTTGGTTCTTTCACCTTAAAGGTCACTACTTGGACCTCCAAATGCCATGACCATGGCTTCCCAACACCCAAACCACACAAGGTCAGCACCTTCACCAACTCACAGTGGCTGGAAACTCAGAACAAGGCCACCAACACACTCCCAATGCCCACTCTCACTCACCACATGTGTTTAGGAGAAGTTTTCATGAAGAAATACGCCTCAAAGCTCAAGAAATGGAGGAAGGAAGGCAATGAAGCAATGAGGGAATGCTGGTCAGCCACCAAAGTCACGTATGAAGAGTGTATGGCCTAGGGTTTTGTGCAAAAATGTTATATATATAGCTCACTTAAACCTTAACACACAATATTAACGTTAATTGCTACGTTTAGCATTTTAATCCCAAACTCAGGATTCTGAATCTACTCGATTTTACAGGATTTAACTTATTTTTCTTATATTTTTTGCAGCTCTTTTTCGGTACGCGCTTTTCCATAGCCAGTATCAGTTCTGGCATCAGTTCTCATTATTTTAACTTGAAACTTGTTTTACAAGTCCTACATATTATTCTAGGAATATTCATGCACTTATTATAATTTTCCGGGATACTTCACCGGTACGTAATTATACCGGGTAGCAGAACCGATATCTGCACTTTTCGTCCGAAAATCGACTTTCAGCATTATAAATCACTTTCTATATTTATATAAGCCTCATAATAAATATTAGAGTCAATTATAGAATTATTTCCTAATTCTCACATCTAATTAATTAATTTCTTTAATTAACGGTGCGGGTTCTTACACTCAGTCCCGGGTTGGGGAAACAGATGCGAAGCACGTCTGTTTGCGGTAAGATGACCCGACACAATGATCTGAAGGTAAACAAAAGCACGTAATGTGTGACAAAGGCTTATATAGGCATGACTAGTGACCATTAGGGTTAGAATGGCAAAGGTCAGGGCTATTAAGGTCTTTGCACTTGCAAATAATAACTGCAACAATCATGGACACTAACCGCAATCATCATGGGCGGTAGCCATAACACGCAGAAATGACAAGAGTCAGGGTCATTAGTGCCATTTCACTCCAAAAAGTAATGATTAGACAACTGAAACGATGCTGCAATAAATACGCACGAAACGCAAAAATGGCATACAACGGCTGTGACATGCTAAAGCACGCAGGTTATAGCACGTGGCAGAACGAAATGAGTATCGCTCATAAACCAACAGATAAGACAGGAACGCATATGCAACTATCAACCGGGTTAAACACCTGAGGCTTGGGGGCAACTCGCCAGTTGGACTACAACTACTCAAGCACATTTGCTACCCGGTTACTATGTAAAGTATCTCGCGGGGTTCATGCAAAACTCGTCGACCACGTAACTAAAGGCATAAGGTAATACTCCAGTTAAGGTATGATGCTTGAGGGTAACCCGCCAGTTGGATCCCAACAACTTGAGTACATCCCCAACTCGGAGTAGGAACACAAAGGGTTGATGCTCAACCGACCGATATAAGGAACGAGGAAAAATCGTCCTCGACATAAGCCACAAACTCGGAATAAGCATAAACGCTGATATTGAGGGACAACTCGCCAATTGGATCCCAACTGCTCAAGCCTACCCCCAATCCAGGAAAAAGGATACGAGAAATATCTCACTCGGTTGATGCTCAGCCCGTCGACATAAGGGGCAAGAGATACGCCACATGGAAAAAAAACTCGAAAAACGATGAACATTGCAAAAACTCGAAAGTTTGAAGAACGCAAACATATTCAGGAACACAAACCTGAAGAAACACACACATAAGTTCACCCCGGCAACCCGGATATCCAGGTAGCCTGGCTGACGGGCAACTGTTATGGACTCATATAAGGGGCCCATTAAGTGACAGGCCCAACAAGGGGCAATCCAATATATGAATCAATAATAATTATGGATAGATATCCATCAAGGATACTAATCCTAATACAACAGCATAACAAGCAGGCCTGAGCCCTTATTAGAGGCACCAAAGGCCTATCCACTCTACCCACAGGTAACCTCTATAAAATACAAGGTAAACTCTAAAGGTACGTTACACTCTCTCTCTTACTGTTATGCTGTCACCGTGCGCACACATACACCCCATTGGCTAACGCCGTTATAGTATTATGTGCACAATGATCTGCTTGACTCAAGGGTATTTCCTTCATAGATACCTTGAAGAGGGCACCAGATCCAAGAGAAACATACTAGTTTATTGGGCTAAACATCTTTGTCCCAAATACCGAACAACATTAATATAGTAATAAATTTAATTAGAAAATTAATCCGGTCAAACTTTTTAAAAGTGAGCTTAATATGGTCAAAAGTCGGAATACACTCATACAAAACTACATCAGTCAAGTCAATCTCACAATCATTATTTGTAAATATAATATGATCTAAATTACATACCTCAGGGGATTATCTAACCCAATTCAAGAAATCATTAGTTTAATGAGTTATAAAAATTTAGTGATATGCCCTTTCCCTTGAATTACTTTTTGTTTAACGCGTATCTTATTTTAACAATCAAACAAATTTCAATTTTTTTCTACTATATTATATATATTTTTATAGCAAATCAATCATGAATATCATCTATACTATTCCTGAGATAAGCTGCATGCACAAAATCAAAATGGGTATAGGCCCCTTACAGCGGTGCAGTGGTCCATGACCCAAAAAGCCCAATCCCAAAGCCCATAATCTCAGCGCGCGTCTGAGCCAAATAGCAGAAGCGGATAACGGCATCACCTTCTCCTTCTTCGCCTCTTCTTCTTCTTCTTCTTTCTCACACTCACTAACACTGAACAACATTAGCTTCAAGTTGCTCCAAAATCGAAAACCCTAACAGCGAAGAAGAACAAGAAGATGCTAGCATATCCTAGCAGCATCCATGGCCGCGCCACACTGCACTGCCATTCCCAACCCCCACAGTTCCTCCTCTCCAACCGTCTCCTCTTCCCTATTTGCTCTCGCTTTGCTGCTTCCGGAAAATGCAAGTTCCGTTCTCTGTTTACCGGCAGGAACTGTCACAGGTTCGGTGTTAGAGCTGCTATGGATTCGTCGGAGTCCACCGGCGATGGTGGTACCCTGCACATTCCTCTCCAACCGTATTCCGTGAAGATTCCCGTTGGTGATAGACATGTATGATTGGTCAATTTTTTTTTTATTGGAGCAATTTTTTTTTCTCTGCTTTGTCTACAAGTGTTTGTGGCTTGTAGGGGATTGGATTGTCTGTGTTGGAGGCGTGGATTCACTTCAAATGCGTTTGACCGTTTGAACGTTGACTGTCTTTTACTTGTTTTGAAAATTGATTTTGTTTTGTTTTAGTATTTCCCCCCCTAAGTGGACGGGTTTTTCGTTGGATAAAGTTGTTTTTCGTGTCATTTCTTTTGGTTGAATAAGGGTTCTCATCGAAAACTGTTGCTCATTATGGGGATTTTAAATCGTTCATATATTTATGATCAGGTAAATAAAGGGCTGAATTAAGTTTTGTATGAAATATGAATGGCATGGGCAGCCCTGGTAGGAGGGAGATTGTTCAAGAATAAGAAATAACCACAAATTCATAGGCCGCAATGCCAAACCTGCAATGCCATTTACATATAATGGTGCTTTGCTGGAAATCTGCTGTGCTATATAGCGCCATGGCACTACCATGGCCGGTATTTGACTACTCTGGCTATTTGAATACCATTGCAACTATTTGACTACAATGCCATTGACATATAATGAATGCAAGGTTGGGAGAGGGGGCTATGGTTCCAAGAATATGGGTTTTTACTCATTTAATAGTTGCAGTAGTTACTGTGCCAATGATTCACAAGGGATCTGGGCTGGTTGGTGGCTTGCATGCACCAAGTTTATTAAGTGTTGCTGTAGTTAGTGATTTTTTTGAAAGGTTTGCTAAGGTTTTGATGATTGCTTTTGTTGTTGGTTTGGTTGTTCATTATGTTTGTGGCCAAGCTGGCCCTGCTGCTATTTTCATTGGGAATGGCAGAAAGGGAAACAAGACTTTAAAGTTCTTCAACAACCTTACCTTTGTGTCAAGGAGTGTGGGAAGAGGAGGGGATTGGTTAGGAGTAAGGATCAAATGAGGGAAAAGAAGACAGAGAGGCAGGCAAGAATTGAGTGTGTTGGAAAAGTGTGGGTGGGCTGAAATATTCTGTTCAGCTGAAGAACCTCCATTGTTTTCTTCTGCATTTTAGTTTTAATTGAGGGCTACCTCTGCTTGTAAGGAGCTTGGTCTCCTTATTTTATATCCTAATTTTCAGTTTCTATGAGCTCAGGTTAATAAAAGAAAATTTTCTCAACCTAACACAACCTATCTCAATTAATTTAAATCAATTTGGTTATTATTTTTCCTAAACCAATCCAACCCATGATCACCCCTATTTTTTGGTTACCAACCAGGTGACCACTATAATGCAAGATGCTTGTGTCTATGAAATTGTCGATGTCTCTTTGAGGCTCTAATTTTCTGAAGGTGGGTAATATTCCTCATTATATTTTGGGAGGATATTTGAATGGCGGTTGTTTTCTTCTCTAAGGTTTTTCATCATCTCTGTTGTATTTTTCGTCTAACTTCCATTTCTTCACAAATTTGAATGAAAGAATCTTTAGAATTACAATCCTTTTTGTGATTACATCAATGTTTGTTCTTAAAGGCTTTCGAGCTAAATAAATGTGGAAATGGAACAGTTTTTAGTTTTATCTTTCTATTGCTGTGGTAAATTTTGTTTCTATTTCTTCCCAAGATATTTTTATATTACATTACTGTTGTACCTGGGGTGGGGTTGTTGTCTGAGTATCTTGATAGAGTAAAGAGGTGCATTCACCACTAGTGTGATTTACATGTTAGATTTTGTGGCATTCTACAGATTTTGGTTGAGACTGGTCATATTGGAAGACAAGCAAGTGGTTCTGTTACAGTTACAGATGGAGAGACTGTAAGTTCCCATATTTATTCTGTTGATTACTTTATCCATGATTGTGAACATTGTCATATGGATCAAAATTGTGTATAAAAAAAGAAAGGAACGATTGGTCTCTATGAATCATGCACTTCTAAAACATATATTCTTTTATTCCCATAAAATTGTGGTTTTTTGGCTTCAAAGTATTGTCGGTTTTTCTATTTTTGTTAAAATAATTTACTTTCTGCAAATAGATTATGAGCTTGCTCAAGTAAATAATGTACTGTTTCTGGCATAAAAAGATAATATCTTGATGTTATTGACATATATCTTAGTAAGTGTTAAGACTCAGATACTACATTTTGTTGTGGAATATTTACCCAGGATGGGAACATTGAAAGAATTAATATCTTATACTTTATAATAAGACGGCGAGTATGGAAATTGGAATGGAATTCTTATGATGATGTGATGGTATCTACCAAAATTCAACATTGATATACAATGCTTCACATGTACCTCGACATTTCCTCCCTTTTGGTGCCTACTTTTACCATCTTAAATACTGAAGAAAAACATGATATTTTTACATTTCTTTGGGATGGAAACAATCAGTAACTTATGCATGAAAAAATCAGAATTTATTCTTCTGAAAATTCATGTAGTTGTTCTTTTATTGCAGATTGTGTACACAACTGTTTGTCTGGATGATGTTCCTAGCGAGCCATCTGATTTTTTCCCCCTTTCTGTTAATTATCAAGAGCGTTTTTCAGCAGCTGGTCGCACTAGGTATGCGTTACACACATTTCCGTTGAATTTTTTTCTTTTTACTTTTTCCTAATATCATTTTGCTCATTGCATAATGTTTTTGTATTTTGGTGTTTAATACTTTAGTTTCCATTGTTTCAGTGGAGGTTTTTTTAAACGAGAAGGAAAGGCAAAGGATCACGAGGTACTACTTTTCTAGTTATTAACTTTGGACTTTTAAGAACTTTGCTAACGTCAATTGACAAGTAATCTTCATCCTGGATGCCCATCTAAGATAGATTTTTTCAATTTATGACTTTCATTGGCAATTTGTTCCCCCTTTGCTCCTGAGATTCACTCTTGCTTATAATAAAGTCTATTCCAATTTACACTCATATTCTAGTTGCCAACCACCATAATAGTGAAATGAGAAGAGACTGGAGAGCTTCATTGCATTGACAAGCTTGCTTCCCCGCCCACCCAATCTCTTTGTTGTTTCTTTTGGTAAGGAGGATGGCCTTATCCTCCTTTTTACATAAAAGTAAATAATAGAGAAAATTTAATGAAAGATTCTGATTAAAACTACTGTTTATGATGAATACTTTCTTAATTTTTGTTCATGATGATGTATGATGACTACTTTTTTAGTTTTCCATGCCCTTATGCAATTGGTGAAGTCTTTTTATGAGTTTTATCCACCGACAAGCCTGATTGGAACTCTTTCCATCATTTTGTGTGTGAGGAATAATGAAGTCTTTTAAATACCTATCACTCCTTTGACAAAAAGGGTGAAGCCTCTGTATTTGTCATTATCATGGGTCATGACTCATTTAAGGTGAATGTCTTGTTCTCTTATTTTGTACTTGGTTTCTTCTCTAATTTTTTCTTCCTCCCCTCCACCTTAGAAAAGTGTCGATGGCCTTTTTCTCACTTTCATTTGTTATGTTGCCTTTGCCATCTCTTATTGCATATCGAGGTAGCTCGACAGTTGTTGACAAGTTGTTTTGGCTGTTTGGGATTAGATAAGGTATTGGGCTTCCTATGGTGTAAAGCACATGGCCTTTTTAAAGGGGTATCCTGTCCCTTACAGATTGTTGAGGGATTGGGGAGCTTTACAACATTGATATCTATTGCTCCTTGATATATAATTTTTCCTTTCTCTTTTTGAGGAGGATTTCTTATCCGCCTTTCCCTCTGTTTTGTTCTTCTTTTCGTCTTAATAAATTTCTTATTTTATATAAAAAGATTCTTTCGGCTGTTTGCAAAATGTTGGACTTATCTGCCTAACTTGGAGGTCTTTTTATATCTTTTATAGAAATTCGAGAGTAGAAAGAAAAATAAGGTGCTTTATTGTTGTGCTCTTTCAGTATGAGTGACTGTCGTGCATTTGGTTGGAGTTGGGATGCCAGCTTTTCTAGCCTGAGATGATTTCCTCTTCAAATTTTGTGGGATGGGTCTTTTTGGTGGGCTAGAGTGTATTTTTTATTTTTTATTTTATTTTTAAAGAGAGAGGGATTTCCTTGTTTGATCTCAATAGCTCTTTTCAGTCAATGCTCTTATCTTTTTTTCTTTTTTTTACTCTTTTTTTTTTTTTTGAGGATTCTTGATCTTCTTGCAATGTGATCCATTTCTATCTTGATGAAGTTTTCTTTGGGCTGGAAATAAGACCAAAAGTTTAATTTATTGAGTTTAGATCATGCTAAGAATTTAGGAGAACTATGGTATTTTGAAACTATGATACTGGGACAATAATTCTCTGGGTGCATCTTGAAAGTAATCTTCATTCATTGTGGTATTGATTTGAACTCTAATTTTAACCACATATTAGTTAGCCAAATTTGATTTTGCATTTGTTACCAAAAAATTAGCCCCGTTTTATATCCGTTAATCACTTATCTATTGAATTGACTTCTTTTTTTGTTTTTTTTTTGTTTTTTTTTTAATTCTTATGTGGTTGAATGGGACCGTATTTAGTTAATTAACTTGAAATGTGGTTGAAATTAGAATTGATATCAATACCTGTGGTATATTAGAACTGGCCTTTCCCTTTTTCTGAACTTTCTTTATACCTCAAACAAGGAAATATGCTTTTATCATTTTATTTCAGGTTGTTTATCCCTCCCTCCCTTTTAGTTATTGAGGATCACTTATCCCCCAAATTCCTTTTAGTTTTCTTCTCTTTGTGATTTTCTTCTTTTATCAATTTTTTTGGCATCTTTATACTGTTTATCTTTTTCCTAGGAAAGTAGGAATGTAAGCAGCCACTCCACCAATTGAAACAAATTCTGATATTTTAAGAGATTAGTGTTTCTCATGTTGTAGGAGATAATTTATCTCTTATATACACATTAAAGTGTGTGGGATCCATGTAGGCCCATGTGAAGAGAAGAGAGAGAAAAAAAAACATTGGTCCCACATACTTTTATGTTTGTATAGGAGATAAAATTGTCTCATAGAGAAACAATAAACCCATATTTTAATTCATTAAAGTAAGAAAAACTTGAACAAATATTCTTGGTGGTTACTATTCAAGAGTTTCTAAGTATTTATTTAGAGTTCAAATGTAAGACGTATACTGAAAGATATGTACGAGGCCATGCAGTAATGGAAGACACTTCTTGTCATTTATGTAAGAGGCCAATCACAATCAAAATAACCCCATGATTCCGTGAAGCATGAGTTTCACGTGTTAAAGCTGGACATGAAAGGTTGGATTACTTTTTGGTTTGACCTTATAGGTCTGAAAAGCCAGTTGCAGAAGTTCTAGGATATGTTGGTTGGGAAGTCTCTAAGCATATATGATCAATTCAATTTTAATTAGTATTGGCTTGTTATTATTTGCAATTTGGATGAACTTGGAAAAAGGTTTTGTTTTAATTTCTTGTCCTTATTTTTTGATTGTCATATTGCTTGCAGGTTCTTATTTGTAGATTGATTGATAGGCCTCTGCGTCCTAGTATGCCTAAGGGGTTCTACCATGAAACTCAAATATTATCCTGGGTATGCTTCTTAAAATTTCCACGTATAAAATTTTATTGTTAACGTGTCTACTTCTGTTGGTCCTTCTCCTAAGTGTTTTTTTTTCAGTTTACTGACTTTGCTTTATCAATTGACGGTTCACTTTTATTGAGTTGGGATATAACAGATGTTAGAAATGTCCAATAAGGCAATAATTATATGACAAGATATATGAAAAATAGAACAGCTAACAAACTGATAAATAAATTGTCAAGAAAAGTATTGGATCAAGAAAATTATTTTTATTCAAATTGACTTAATTTTTTTTATTATATCTTTAAATAAATTCATTATAATTTTAAAAAATGTCGTAAGGATCACCTTAATATTAAGGAATTTATATGCTTCTCACTATTTAGTTATATATGAGACATGGAAAATATAATAATTAGCTACAAATTAATTTATCGTGATTTTTTTTTTAATTTTATTGAAAAATGTTCGCATTATTTATTAAATTAAACTTTTGTCTGACCATTGATTACAAAAATTGTAGATAGATAATTATGGAAAAATATTGAATATTTCAATCCTTTTCTTGTTGGTCTTCATATTAGATGTTAGTAAATACCATAAGTTGTAGGTGGTTTTAAATTGTTTGCCACCAATGAATTGGCAGGTGCTGTGAATATACAAGTTTCCGTCGAAAATGCCATAGCTGTAAACTTACTAGGCAATAAGAGATAACCAGGACCAACACCCTTTTTGTCAATTAACAACTCAACCAACATTTGTTTGATTTTTCTGCTGTAGTAATGTTTGATGTGTTATTATTATTTATTTTGCGTTAGAATGACAGTTCCTTTTTCGTGGAAATTTCACATGTAATTGTCTACTGTTAATTTATGCTTTTAGGTTTTAAGCTATGATGGGTTGCACTCCCCTGATTCCTTGGCTGTCACTGCAGCTGGTATAGCAGTGTAAGTTGTTCATTTTATTTTGCTGCCGACCCTGGGGCACTTAGATTCCATGCACAATGCTATCCTTTTCTTTTTCAATATTAACAAGAACTCCTCTTACTCTACACTTTTGTTTACCAAAACATAAAATTAAAGAGAATTCAATAAAAAGAGGAAAGAAGAACAAGTAGATAGGTGTGAAAATATATGTATGATGCTCTCTGAGACACCAACGCATGCTATCTACACATGCCCATAAGCACTCTGCGTAAAATCATTAATCTTAATCATTTAATTTCCACAGTGCACTTTCAGAAGTGCCAATGTCAAAAGCAGTTGCTGGAGTTCGAATCGGTCTTGTTGGTGATAAGTATATAGTAAATCCTACAACTAAGGAGATGGAAAACTCTGAGTTGGACCTCTTACTGGCTGGCACAGATAGTGCAATATTGATGATAGAGGTAAGGCATTATTCTTGCTTGTGAACAATAACATGTTAGGAATATGCTAATAGAACAGAAGCTGGCATTATAATTATGTGTAACTTGTCATTCAAAAGGAACTTATGCATGTATAACTGCCCTAGTTTCTGGGAAATAAAAGATAAAAGATTTCTGAGAACCAAATTATATAAACAGTGAAGTTAATGAATATTTGCTTTCCCTTTATACAATTATACTCGATATTCTTTGCTTTAGTGTTTTTTCTTAGTTACTTTGATAAGATCTAATGCCACCACTAACTCGAAGAGCCAAGAGGCAAACCAAGATAACAAACAGGCTTGACATGTTTTGATACTTGAATACAGATAAAAGAATGCCAGTTATCTTCATTCCTGATGTTACAACCAGCTTGTCGATTTGTGATATTAGCTATTTACATAGTCTGGAAATTGGTTGGAAGCAACTCAGAGTTGTAAAAATTGTCCCCTCTCAACTTTGTTTTTCAGCTACATATAAAATAGAACTAGGTTATCATCAATTAAGACCAAATGTGAATTGCAAAGTTAAGCGGCTTCCATGAAAGCCAACTGAGTGGTCTTTTAGAGTTGGGCTAGTTACTTTGTTGAACACCTCTATGATGCTCACCGGCAAGTGTACCGATCGTTCAAGTAATAAAGTGATAAGTAAGTTATCGTCTCCACAGGGATTGTGAGCGAATATCTTATAAACGTCATTTCAAGATATAAAACCCAAGTGATTTGAAGAACAATAGAAATTAAAGACAAAGACGTATTTTTGTATTTTAAAAATAAGAGAATGATGCAAAATGATTTGGATAAAAATATGAGAAATATTGTAGCTAGAGCGCACTCACCTTATAATCCCCACTTCTTACTTTGGATTGATTCACAATATTTATTCATATAATTACTCGGATAAATTATTATCTAAAAATATTTATTAGTTAACTCTCAATTCCTTGCAAGGTTAACCCTTATTAGAGTAGATGAGGTGTACAACTTATACAGTACACAGGGTCAATATTGTAATTAGCCAGAGGGACATTTATGTAATTAGCATACTCATTCAGTTTCAGCTAACTGATTTTGGTTACAACTAAACCAGTGACGTGGCATATCTCTGAGGTCTATATTAGACCACTGTGTAACACATGCACATTTCAATGAATCACTTTACTCTCTTTCTTCTAGCTTTCGTTCTCTCTTCTCTCTCTCTCCTCTATGACTTCTTTTATGGTATCAAAGCCCTCTCTCTGAGGGCCTGATACGGATCCAACCACTTGATGTCTTCCGCTTCGCATCCACCGTCTCAGTCGTCTTCAGCTGAAGGAACAACCACCAGAAATGGAACGACAGAGCACCGGTCATCTTCTCCATCACTGTTCACTCATCAGATCTCCGTCAAACTTACGGAAAACAACTTTCTGATCTGGAATCAAGTTGTAGAACCAGTAATCACATCTCATCAACTCCACCACTTCCTTGTTAACCCAAAGATACCGCTTCAGTTCGAGTCTGAGCAAGCTCGTATTGATGAAGCTGTTAATCCTCTTTACACTGAGTGGATACGTCAAGATCAAATGCTTCTTTCATGGATTCTGTCTACTGTTTCAGAAGAAATCCTGAACGAGATCCTTGGTGTCTCTCATGCGTATGAAGCCTGGGAGCAAATCCACAAATTTTTTCAAGGTATGATGAAGTCCAAAACTCATCAACTCAGATCTGAGCTTCGCACCATCAAGAAAGGTGGCAGATCTGTTGCTGAATATCTTCGTCGAGTTAAAACTATCTGTGATGAGTTGAAGGCTATCAAAAGCCCTATCTCAGTTGAAGAACAAACTGAACTGATTTTAGCTAGTCTTCCTTCTGATTTTAATGCGTTTGTTACTGCTGTTCGAGCTCGAGAAAATCCATACTCACTCAATGATTTACGTGTTGAACTGATGTCCTATGAAATGATGCTAGCCAGGCAGAACGAAACTCTTCTTTCTGATTCAATGACTGTTAATGTAGTTCAGAAGGTATCCTCTGATCCAAAAGAAAGTTCAAGACCTGATTCGACAGCTATGAGAACTCCTTTTACTCCTATTCAAGCAAGTCAGACTCAAAGACCTTATAATACAAATAATGAAAGAGGAAGAGGAAGGTTTTATGGTGGGAATAACAGAGGAGGAAGAGGCAGAGGACGAAGCAATGTTCAATGTCAACTCTGTTACAAATTTGGACATGGAGTCCAAAGTTGCTGGTATAGATTTGATGAGAACTTTGTGCCTGAGTTCTCATCACCAGAATCTCATCAGTTCTTTACACAACCACAACCTTCATTTCAGAGGTCCTTTCAGTACAACAGATCTGCTAATGTCAACCAGCCACAAGCTTTGGTGACCACAAATCAGTCTCAGCATCATGCTTCACAGCTTTGTAATATGGCTTCACAATCTCACGGCCAAGGACTCTTGCCTACTCCTTCAAATGTTCAGTCCATAGAGTGGTATCCAGACTCAGGTGCCTCTCACCATGTGACTGCCAATCCTCAAAATCTTCTACAAAGCACACAACTATCAGGTGCAGACCAGGTTTACATAGGCAACGACCAAGGTTTGAGAGTCAATGCTACGGGTTGCTCTTCCTTTTCTTCTCCCCTCAAACCTCATACTCACCTATATCTTAACAATTTATTACTTGTTCCCTCCATCACTAAAAATCTCATCAGTGTTAGCCAGTTTGCTAGAGATAACAGTGTTTATTTTGAATTTCACCCTTTCACTTGCTTTGTCAAATCTCAGGCATCTCATGAGGTCTTGCTGGAAGGAGCTTTGGGAACTGATGGATTGTACAGCTTTCAAGGAGTTAATCTTCACCCCAATTCAAGTCTGCCGTCCAGCCAACAGTGTGCTTCTGCTTCTACATCCAATTCTGTTTCTTATAGTCCTAATTCCCTATGTACTAGTTACAGTGTTTCAGCTTGTACTGATACTCCACTCACCAATGTACTCACACCAAACACATCTAATAAAGTCAGTAGCTCAAGTCCTATAGGGTCAAACTATATGTACTCTCTTTGGCATTGTAGACTAGGTCATCCTCACACTGAGGCTCTAAATTCAGTTCTCAAGTCTTGTAATATTCCTGTGCCTAATAAAACTGACATTTCCTTTTGTTCTGCGTGTTGTTTGGGAAAAATACACAGATTACATTCTGGCTCGTCTACTAAAGTGTATGAAAAACCTTTTGACCTTGTTTTTAGTGACTTGTGGGGTCCAGCTCCTGTCAAGTCCTCAATGGGCTTCACCTACTACATATCTTTTGTAGATGCCCACTCTAGATACACTTGGATTTATCCCCTTAAACAAAAGTCAGAAGCATTGGTTGTTTTTAATCAGTTTCAAGCCCTTGTTTCAAACAATTTTCAGTCCACTATTAAAGCCCTTCAAACTGATTGGGGTGGAGAATTTAGACCCTTTCATCAACACCTTAAAAATCACGGAATAGTTCATAGGGTTGCCTGTCCTCACACCCATCATCAGAATGGTGTTGTTGAGAGAAAGCATCGTCATATAGTTGAAACTGGTCTTACCTTACTTGCTCATGCATCCCTACCCATCAAATTTTGGGACCATGCCTTTATCTCAGCTGTGTATCTTATTAATTCTCTTCCCACTGCTGCCTTGAATTTTGAAGTTCCTTCTATCAAACTACACAAAACATTGCCTGACTACAAGTCATTCAAGGTCTTCGGGTGTGCTTGTTTCCCTTTCCTAAGACCATACAACAACCACAAACTGGACTTTAGGAGCAGTGAGTGTATTTTTCTTGGCTATTCCCCTACTCACAAAGGCTACAAGTGCTTGAACTCATCTGGCAGGTTGTTTGTTTCTAAGGATGTCCTTTTTAATGAAACAAAGTTTCCTTACCCCATTTGGTTCAGTTCATCATCCAGCAATGCTACTGCTCATTCCTCCCCTCCTGTTTCTAATTTGATTCCTTTGGTAGACTCACATATCAAGTCTCCTGCTCCTGTACATTCGTCACTCTCATCACCTCAACAGAGCTTGACCACTCAAGGTTCCCAAGCATCCAACAGCAACACCTCATCATCATCACCATGCAGTGTAGCTCCAGCAGATTCCTCTTCATCACTCTCCAGCCCTGGTTTATCTTCAGGTTCATTTTCTCCTATTCCTATTTCCTTTAGTTCTTCTTCTCCTTCTTCTGTTGACTCTGGTTCTGAATATATACCCTCTAGACCATTCCATATCTCACCCTCTCACACTGTTACTACCCGCTCCAAGACTGTACCTCACCCACAAGTCATGTATACTTCCCTTGAACCTGCCACACTAAAACAAGCCTTGGCTAACCCCAACTGGTCTGCTGCTATGAAATCTGAAATGTCTGCACTACAAGCTAACTCAACTTGGTCTTTGGTTTCTCTTCCTCCCAACCGGACTGCCATTGGATGCAAGTGGGTTTTTCGCGTTAAAGAAAATCCTGATGGCACCCTCAACAGGTATAAGGCTAGGTTGGTGGCCAAAGGTTTTCATCAGCAGGCTGGGTTTGATTACACAAAAACTTTTTCCCCAGTGGTTAAGCCTATTACCATCCGCACTATCCTTACTATTGCTATCTCTTTTGGCTGGATTTTAAGGCAACTAGATGTCAATAATGCCTTTCTCAATGGCACCCTTGATGAGGAGGTGTACATGCAACAACCTCCTGGCTTTGAATCCACAACTAAGTCTCTGGTCTGTAAGTTACATAAGGCTCTTTATGGCCTTAAACAGGCACCACGAGCTTGGTTTGATAAGCTCAAGACTTCTCTACTGCATCTTGGATTTGTTGCTAGTAAATGTGATCCTTCCCTGTTTATCTACAGGAAGTCAGCACAATGTATCTTTCTCTTAGTTTATGTTGATGATATAATCATCACTGGCAATGATTCAAGCTTTATTCAGACTCTTATTCAGCAACTTAATTCTGAGTTTGCTCTTAAAGACCTTGGGGATCTTGATTTCTTCCTTGGTATTGAGGTTCAGAGGACATCCTCTGGTGCTTTGATTCTTAATCAGTCCAAATATATTAAAGATCTTCTTGGTAGAGCTCACATGGCAGAAGCCAAGGGTATCTCTACCCCACTTCAATCTGGCTGCAAACTCTCCAAATTTGGGGCCAATTACTACTCAGATCCATCCTTCTATCGCTCCATTGTTGGGGCTCTCCAATATGCTACCCTAACTAGACCTGACATCAGCTACTCGGTTAACAAAGCTTGCCAATTTATGGCTCAGCCTCTTGAAGAGCATTGGGCTGCAGTCAAGAGGATCTTACGTTACTTGAATGGCACCCTGCATCATGGTATGCTGTTGCAGCCATGTCATCCAAGTCAATTATTCTCTATCACTGCTTTTTGTGATGCAGATTGGGCTAGTGACCCGGATGATAGACGGTCTACTTCAGGAGCATGTATCTTTTTTGGTTCCAACTTGGTGTCTTGGTGGTCCAAGAAGCAAAATCTGGTTGCACGGTCCAGTACTGAGGCAGAGTATCGCAGCCTTGCTCTTGCTACCGCTGAGGTTCTCTGGCTCAAATCTCTCCTTCATGAGCTCCAAATTCAGTTTGGCACTCCTCTCATTCTGTGTGATAATCTGAGTACTGTCTCTCTGTCTCATAATCCGGTTCTTCATGCTAGGACTAAGCATATGGAATTGGACATATTTTTTGTAAGAGAACGTGTTATTGCTAAAGAAATCCGAGTCTGCCACATTCCTTCCTTGGATCAAGTTGCTGATACACTCACTAAGAGTCTCTCTGCCTCCAGATTTGCTGTTTTGAGGGACAAACTCAAGGTGGTGGACTCTCTGAGTTATCTCCATCCACCCTGAGTTTGAGGGGGCATATTAGAGTAGATGAGGTGTACAGCTTATACAGCTGTACACAGGGTGGATAAACCAGTGACGTGGCATATCTCTGAGGTCTATATTAGACCACTGTGTAACACATCTATTCTAATATGCTAATTACATAAATGTCCCTCTGGCTAATTACAATATTGACCCTGTGTACAGCTGTATAAGCTGTACACCTCATCTACTCTAATAACCCTTTAATCCCCAATTGGAACCCCAATTCCTTGCAATGTTCCTCATGGTATTAAGCAATGAACGCAATAATTTAAGCATCCGCAATTAAATACACATCTATTCCTAGCATGCATACCAATTGTTGTCCTACCCCCTTTCAAGATGAAAACCCCAATATTCCTATCTAGGGTTCTAACCCTCAAACTATTCCCAACTATCAGATTGATCAGTTCTAATAAAGAGAATAGGAAATACGCACAAGGTAGAGACAAAGATAATTATACAAATGAATAAAACTAAATCAATCCATCGTAACAAGGGTTCACATAGGGCTCCTGACCCTAACTACAATAAAAGAGAATTAGCCAAGCATAATCATGGCTAACAATAATCCAATATTCCAAAGCATAAAATTACAGAGAAATAGATGAAGAAGAAGAACTGTGGAAGAATCCTTCTGAGCTCTGCCGTCGGTCTCCTTCTGAAGAAATAGGTCTGAATTGTCTCCAATGTCTTGGAATGGTGGAGGACCACCCTTTAAATAGGCAACTGGTCAATCAGGTTATAATCTTTGAATTTAATTTCATTAATTTTTCATTTTGATCATAATTCCACAATTCAAGGATTGCATTCATGACGCCCGCACGATCAGCGCCAAATCCGTGACTCCACAAATCAAGGACTGCATTCATGGCACCCGCACGATCAGCGCCAAATCATTTCCTTGTTTTCTTTCAAATTTCGAATTTCTTCACCTTTTAACCTAATTTCTGTGCAAAGTCTCCTATTTATAAGACTCTTTTTCTTCTTCCAAAAATACCCTCGTGGAATCGCGTCAACAAGCTTTTTATAATTTTGTAATTTTCACTTCTTTTACCTGTAAAAACACAACCAATAGGTGAGAACTATAATTGAAAAGAAAGAATCAATATAATTAGCAAATATGTATTTAAATTGCTCTCTTATGACCCAATTCTTATCAATTTTAACATGGAAAAACCACACTTGACAGAGGCACATCACTCTACAATAGAAATTGATATTTGGAAATAATATGCCTTGGTATAGTCCTGTGGAAGTGCTGAAAACAGAAAAGTAGGGTTGTTCATCAACCGATCCAAACCGATTCAAACCGCGGTAACTGAACCAAAAAACCGATAACCGAATAAACCGAAAAACTGAAAACCGAAAAAAAACAGTAAATTTTAATTGGATTGGATCGGTTTTTGGATGGGTTGATGAAAACCGATCCAATCCAAACCGATCCAATATATTAATTCTCCTCTACCTATTTGAGTATTTCCCTAATCCCCTCTACCTATTTGGGTCTTTCCCTAATCACAGCCTAAAAATTTCTAAACCTAAGACCTATTAACCCATCAACTAAACTCAAGAAAAAATCTAGTCATATCTTATGAACACAATTTTATCTTTATAACTTCATATCTCATTGCCAAAAAAAAAAAATTATATTATTGTTTACTAATGCTTTTGTATTTAAAAAATAAAAATAAAATTACAAAGCCAATATATACAAAAGATGTTATTTGCACAACAATCATGAAATAAATATTAGGATTTTCAAAAAATCGAAAACCGATCCAATCCAAACCGAAAAAATTTGGATTGGATCGGATTTGAAAAAAAATTCAAACCGAATGGATGATTATATGATCAAACCGAAGGGATTGGATCGGATGAATTTTGCTTCCAAAACCGATCCAATCCAGACCGCGAACACCCCTACAGAAAAGGGCCCTGTTTTAACTTATAGATTACCGAGATTTAACTATTTAAGTGGAGATTTACATTTGGAATAGGACCTTAATTTTGAATCTAATTTATTTGTGCAAACAAAGATAAGAGAAAGTTCTACATCTTAAAGATCAAATATTTGAAACTCCTAATTTTTGTGTTTGCAATCCTTATCCTCATCAAGTACATGCAATCACAGTTATTGATTTTTTTTATTGAACTAGCATCTTAAAGATTTCTTCTCTGTTTAATTTATTTCTTTTATTTATTTTTGTTCCTATTTATTAATTCTTTTCCCTTAAACTTATCTTGCTTTTATTTTGGTTCGCCGACTGCCGTCCCCAATTAGTTTGGGATTAAGGTGATTTTGCTACAGGGAGAACAGATTGCAATATTTTTCTACTCTTAAAATTTTCAGTATTTTGAAAGCAAAGAACTGTGACCACTTACTTTCAGGCGTGTATGAAAAAATGATGGCAAAAATCATATCTTTCCATAATCTAGTATATTTCAATCTTGATTCTTGAAACTCTTATGGTTGTACTTTCCTACTGGCTGAGCTGCTATAAATTTTTATCGCAGGGTTATAGCAATTTTCTTCCAGAAGAGAAGTTACTTAAAGCTGTAGAAGTTGGTCAGGTTGTTACCTTATAGTAGTGTGTAGACAAGCTTACTAATCATTAGTACATTTGATGAATTTTCTTTCCCTCTGCTAAAGTCAAATGTATGTGTTGTTTAAAATATTGTTGGCTCGGGTTCATGCTAAATGCATTTATTTATGGCTGCTTATTACAGAGCATAAAAAGCAAGGTGTCATCACTGAAGTTTTTGATCTCTAAAATATCCTTGTCTTCACTAATGTACCAATGTTAAATTATTTCAAGACGTCTCTTAAAACCACCCATTTTCTAGTTTGAGATAAAGGTAATGTTGATGTTTATCTATGTATATTATTATGACCAATTCTCATTTTTTTCTACCACTATTATGGCATTGGGAATTTAAAATGTTCACTAAAAAAAGGTGATATGGTACGAGAGTAAGCCACTTGCCTCCCTTAGAGATTTATTTTTGGTTATAGTGGGATTGGCATGCTTTACTTTGTTCTCATTTTTATGTGTCCTTTGTTTTCTTTGAGGGTTTATGAACAACTCTATTCATAATTACCAATTTATAATCTTTTACCTGTTGTCTACTGTCAGGATGCAGTGCGAGCAATCTGTAATGAGGTAGAAACTTTGGTTAAGATGTGTGGGAAACCAAAGATGTTTGATGCCATCAAGTTGCCTCCTCCTGAGCTTTATGAACATGTTGAAGTATGCTCTGCTATCCTATATCACTTTCTGCTGTTTCTTTAATAAAAACCTTTTGAATTGTTCCTGATCTGTGAATGTCTCTGTGAGATGTTATTCTGTCCTCAACAGTTCCTATATTCCTTGAAATTTGTTTCTTGTATTTGGACAATGGCACTTAACAGGATTAATACTATTTTGTGAAGGACCTGGCTTAGATAACCCAGCTAAACAGCTCAAAATATGGCCAAACAGCAACTGTAACATAATATTCCATGCAGGAACAGTAGCCAAACAGAGGTGAATAGCCACCAAACAGTAGCAAGCCAATCATATAGGAGCAAACAGCTATATCCCAGCCAAACTGGGGGGTTCCCACAAGTAGAAGGAGCCAGAGCCTATTGAAATTATAGGGTTTAGGTCGGGAAGGAGAAACAGAGAGAAAGGAGGCTCTCAATAATATAAGAATAGTATTGACTTGATGTGAATATCATACAAAGTACAAAAACATATCTCTACTAATGATTAGGTCAAATACTAATGTAGCAAGGTAGTTAAAGGCATAAGGCGCCTTAAGAGGTTAATGACCTTTAATGCCTAGAGGTGGGAGGGGCCAAAAGACGCACTCCTTACTGAAGATAGGTGCTAACAATAAAAAACACTTGCTATCCCTTATTTGCACATCTCTTTTTTAGTACTGTGATAGTAAAAAAAAAGTATTATGAAATTTTTATCATGTGATATTATTTACTTATTAATGAACTGAAACGTGCTGGTTTAGGAATTCACATAAACAAGGAGAAAGAATGGAAAAGACTGCACTTTATTTAGTAAATCTCCCTCTGTTTGCAAGAAGGTTCATGTTTAAGAAGAAGATGAATAATATCGCAACAGTTAGATGAAGACGATTACACATTGATGAAGGTTAAAAGGTTGATTCTTCTTAACCTTCCTCTCCAGTGAATTCTCTGGCCCACTTCCTTAACAACAAACTATCGACAGACCCATTACTGCTCACGAAATTCCTATTTTATACTCCTACCTATTTTCTTATTAAGTTTCAAGACATTTAAAAATATCCTAACTGTACCCCCCCGCCCCCCCCCCCCTTTAGCTAGTGCTACTCCTTATCTTCTTGGCCGACATGGCCTGCCTTCTGCTTATTTCTTCTCTTATACGTATGAATTATTGGGGCTTTTATTATAATACTCTCTACAAAACTTTTCACCTTGTCCTCAAGGTGAAAGGCTGAGAACTGTTGCTGAGTTTGCTGGAGTCTTCAAAAGATGGTAGATCAGTCCATTGAAAACACTTCCATATCTCCCAAAGGGGTTACTTTGTGATCTAACACTAAGTCGCTAACTTATAACATTCAATAAAATTTGACTATGTTAATATTAAATAAAAAAGCTGTTAACACATGCACATGTTGTGAATAAATGAAGCAGACTGCATATAGAATGTAATGAACCCCAAAACGGAGTCTGAGATTTCAGAGAGAGCTGAGAAAACAGAGAAGAGAAAAAGTGAAAGAATGCATATGTGATGGCAGATTGAATGACAAACAGAAAAGGAGAGAATTCTCCTTCAAAGGGTTTCTCCTTTTACAATCAAAGGGATATTACGGGATATTTTTTATATATTCCAACACTCCCCCTTAAGCTAAAGCTTTTTGATCTTTGAGCCAGTGTTAGGGAATGGCGTCTGGGACTGGAGACAGGGCTTGACTGTATTTGATTGTTGCTGTGTTGATCGTTATTACCATTCCCTGATACTGTCATTTGATGTGAAGTTTTCTTGGTTTTTTATTTTTGAAACCTTTATGTAGGCATTTTGGCTCATCTGTTGCCATTGATAGTTTTTTGTTTGTACATGTGTGTATGAGAGGAATATACATTAACTTGATTAAAAATTTTGTTATCAAAATGATTGAAGACTTTATTAGAAAGTTTTTTTTGAATATGGTGCTTAGGATAGAAGCTGATGTGAATGGTAATTTGCAGGAAATTGCTGGTGATGAGTTGGTAAAAGTTCTTCAAATTAGAAACAAAATACCAAGAAGGAAAGCCCTTTCATCATTAGAAGAAAAGGTTCTGAAAATACTTACAGAAAATGGGTTTGTCACAAATGATGCAACACTGTGGAGTAATACTGAATCCATTGCGGAGATTCTTGAGGACGAGGATGAAGATGAGGAAGTGATTGTTGATGGTGAAATTGACGAAGGTGATGTTCATATAAAGCCAACTCCACCCAAACCAACCCCTTTAGTAAGTACTACTTTTATAGTTCTAGTTATTTATTTATAATTTATTTTGTTTTATTTTATTTTTTGGATTATAAAGTGATACATATATTGTATCTTAGGCTCAGCGCTCTTTCTGCTCTTGGTCATTTTTTATGGGTGTTTTTCTAAGTCAGACATGCAAACAGACTGGGTTGCTTAAATGAACTGATTTTTTTTCTCTCTTTTGTTGCTTTTTCTCTGATGTTTCTTTGTAGCCTTGGGAGGATTACTAACCCTCCTCTTTTACACACTTCTCACTCTTAGTGAATTCTTTTATAAAGAGAGTTGATAAATATAGGTGATTGTCCTGTTTTAACTGCAGAATTGAGTGTTTTTGTTACTTCTCTTCTGGGTGTGCGCATGAAGCTCCTCAACAGATCTGTTGAGGAAAGTAATGCAAAAATATCCTAAAGGTAGGAGGTTATTTCAGAATTCAGAGTACTGTGTGTTATTTCATCTATGGAAGAAATTATGAGGACAGCTAAAAAAGTTCTCCTCCTGAGACCTAATTCTGCCAAATCTTTCTGTTAAGAGATGTAATATAACCATTCATTTGCCTTCATCTTGCAACTTAAGCTTTTCGGATTGTTAGTTTATGACGTGATATGAAAACCTTATTGACGAAGTGGTCATGAGTTCAGTTCTAGCCACTACTATTCTTGTAAATAGAAGTTCAATTTCAGGCTTTCAGCACATTTCAAAATTTGGCCAGAACATTGTCTCTGCTTAAAGAGCCCAAAGAGATGTAATAAGACCATTTATGTGCTTTTACCTAATATTTTAAGCTTTTGAGATAGTCGGTTAATGACACTTTAAACATGTTTCTTGAGTAAAGGAAACATGCAAAATAAGTTTACATTTCTGCTGACAACCTGAGAAGAATTTGAGGGGGTATTAACTTCTGGGAGGTCTTACTTAGTGCTAACCTAGCACTGAATAACTTAGAAGACTCTCATAGAAAAAGTACTGACAACCAGTTTAAGAGTATTAGTGCGACTCTCAAGGCTTTTTAGCATTGTGCTACCAATATTTAGTTCTTCTTTCTTTGGTGCTCTGCTCATGGTTGTTTTAAGGGAATATCCATTACTGGATACAGGGATATGTGCCAGCTTTGCTACTTATTTTAGCCTATTTGGCTTCATTTTCTTTAAATTTCCCTATTAAGGAGGATATGTTATCCTCTCCTAGCAATATTTTCTCTTCTCTGTCTAATAAAATGTCTTTATTTGTCTCCTCCCCTGACCCAAGAACCAAGGCAAAATAAGGATGTTACTCATGTTTTCTTTTCCCTTGTTTAGTGTGTGTAGTATCCTACTGTTGGTCAATCTTTTACTGGCAATAGATATTATGTTTTTCTAATTTATTTTCCTGTATTTGAGTTGTATATACTTTCTTCCTCAGTTCTTGGGATTTCTTGTTTGATGGACAAATGATCACCATCTGCTGTATGCCTATTGTTTTGAATTCATTTGGTTTTACATTTTAACATTTATGTATTGTTCTCTCTTCTTACAGTTTTCTGAGGTAGATGTGAAGTTGGTATTTAAAGAAGTTACATCCAAGTTTTTGAGGAAGAGAATAGTAGAGGTATGAGTAGTTGTAATGAAATAATTAATGTTGCTATCCAAACATCATTATACAAGTTTAATATATTTTCTGTCCTACTGGGACTTCTGTCAAATGGTCTGTGAGAATTTCTGTTTTCTTCATATTGAAAAACTCTCTCACTATAAAGTTGAAAATTTTAGTTATGAGCCAAAGAGAATAATCTGATAGTTGAGTAAAACACATCTTCTTAAGTCTTTGTGGAAGCACGAATGGAACAAATATTCCACCAAAAGAGTCTTCAGGAGTTAATGTTCTCAAGTATTGAACCTTAAACTCGTAAGGTTATTCGATTTCATGCTGTCAAAAATGCACTAATCGTTTCAAATGTGCAATGAGATAGGAAATGCCTAACTGTCCAACATCAGTTTGCTATAACAACACAAGATATCTGTTTGATATAAAATTACTTCTGGGCTTGCAGTTAAAATAGATGAAGCTTTTAGATTGAATTGGTGACATGGTATTAGATTGAATTGATCCTTACTGCCCATTCATCATGCCCAAAAAGCTTTCACATGAGATGGCATGTGTGATGAAAAATTATTCTTAGTTATGCATGTACCATATAAGCTTTTAGGTTGAGCTGGTTCCAATAAAGAAAGCTGATGGCATTACTCAATAAATTTACCTTTGTACTTGAGCTAGTTGGCACTTGATTCAATCAATTAGGGTTTATAGAGCTGCAATTTTCCTTATAGCATAAGTGCTCTCTCGTTCTTATCCTTAATAGTTAATAGTGTCTGATATGCAATAAATGTTCACATCTGTATCATATTGTACTGACATGGGTACCTTCAAATCATAGTTATAGTACAGAGATGTTCAGTTAGCTATTTAATTTTTTTTTTTTGTTTATCATTCCAATTTATATAAGTAGAAGATGTGACATAGGAAGAGATCTGGGAAAACTGTACCAAATGTGGGTGTAGGTCTCTGTATTTATATTCACATTTCCAGATAGAAGGGAATGGAGATACTGCCATAATTCCTTGATAGTGTTGCTGTGGATGGTAATGTCATCAACATGATGATCTAAGGTTCGCTGATTTCGTGTGTACAGCTGCATATCCTCCCAGATCCTCATGTCTTTAATAGCCATATTTGTGTGTCCATCCTGAGTGAGGTGATCTTCCTTACCATGGCCTTTCAAGTACATTTCAGTGGCCTTCCTCCATTGTGGATAATTTTCCCCATCACCACCTATTTTCCGCTTTTTTGCATTAGATGGAATTAATTCAGCCAAAACTGTAGAAGTAGCATTGAGGGTTTGGCCATTGGTCCCGGTCGCAGGATCAGTGATATTAACATGGCTGTCACTCTCATACTCATAAGGCGCATCATAGGGCACCAAAAATCAGAGAAGTAGAAAGACCAGGTAGATGGAGGGAGATAAGGACCAAAAAAAGGTAGAAAATCACAAAGAACAACACCAACTGATGGCGCACCTGCCACTCACGTAATGTCCTTCTCAGTGCTGGAAAAGAGATAACTCAGTCTCCAACGGCCCTGAAACACTGAACAAATGGACCTTGCAGTGCTGAAATGGGGCACAACCAACTGCTTTGCTGTGACGCAGTCTCACTGCCGATCACTGCTCCACCTGCCGGCCCTCCTTCTGGCACCACCGGCAACCTGCTGGGAACACTTTAACATGTGATTGCAGTCTATGCCTGGCTTGCACCACAATCAGAAGCATGACATATGTCGTGTTTCTGAGTTCTTTTTTTGGGTAAATGAAGAGCTAGATAGGGAATTTGAAGGCTGATGATACCATGCAAAGTGGAAAGAGATTTGAGAAAATTGTGTCCAATGTGGGTGCAGGTCTCTGTATTCATATTGAGTGAATTAAGCTGCAATATTATCAGAGGACATAAATGCCCTCTGTACACTAATTACATGTACAATGTATTTATTCTCAACAGAATATCATGCAGCAGCGTTGCTTGTTTCAATGTAAACATTTTTACTGGATGCCAAAATTGCAAATAAACCTACCTGTAGTGGCTGTAAGGGGGGATATAAGGTAATTGTTTTATATGGATCCTACTGACATCCTCCTAAAGAGGGAGGATGTTGCTCTGATTTCTAGATATGGTGGTGCCTTAAGATCTGTTCATCATGGAGCTTATTCAATGAGTATACAGCTAGTTCTTAGGATTTCTTAATCCCAAAGTATTTTAAGATTTATATAAATTTGGTTGAATTTACATTGGTCAATGATTGTGCAATTCTTAGAAGCTTGTCTGCGTAATGGATTACCAAACAGAATGGATCCATGTTTGTTGATTTCTTTTCTGTGCATGTGACAGGGGGGGAAAAGGAGTGATGGGCGAACACCGTACGAAATACGTCCAATCAACTCAAGATGTGGCCTATTGCCTAGGGCACATGGAAGTGCTCTTTTTACAAGAGGCGAGACACAGGTTTGAGGCAACTTTATTTTTTCTCCAAAATCATGTTGTGATGATATGTGGTGATTCCTTTATATGCTTATGCAGTCACATAAAAGTGCTCCTTTTATATTTTAATAGTTTTGTTAGAAGGGAGAAAGAATGATTACAAATACAAAGGAGGAGGATAAAAACTAATAATACAAGAGCTCTTTGGCCCTTTAACACTCTTCTCTTCACGTTTAAAGATTCACCCATTCTTCTCCAATCCTTGTATACCCTAACCAACTAGGATGTTCTTACAACCCAAATTTTGAGCTATAACCGGCAGCTCTAAGTTAACCAAAATATCCCCTAGACTAGCAATCTTATCTTTCACGATAACATAATAAATAATAAAATTCCAAAACAATTTATACTCTACAATTTATTGAAATTTCAGCAGAGTTTACCCTATTTTTCTTCATCTAAAAAATGATAAACACCTTCTATACAATGATGCACTTACAGTTGGCCCATTGCACGTGACCCAACCATTGGTTCAAGAAGCTCAGAGTCAACCACAGTTGTGGCCTAATAAGTATGGCCCAATTGTTGAAAGAAGTAGTGAGTTGAAATATAACAAATTATGATCAAATCAAAGTCCTAATAAAACAGCAGATATAATTGTGATTTGTTTGGCAAGAAAAGGAAAGCAACACATTTGACATGATTTGAGATCTAAGATTTGGGACATGTTTTGAATAATTCAATTGTAATTATTTATTCATTTTTGGAAGTTAGTTACTGTTATATTTATGTTAGCAATTTCTCTTATTTTTAGGATTTTTAATTTTGAATTTTGGATCTATTTGTAATTAGTCTATAAAAGGGTGCTTAAGACCCTTATTCTAGGAATTGCATTTTGTTATTTTGATAATTATAATTGAGAACCAGAGGTTACTCTTTTATCGTATCCCAACATTCTGTTTAGCCACTTTTTCAATGTGCTTTTGGCATCATTGGGTATTAGAGCATTAGGTTGCCTTCATCCAATGGCTGAACAGAATCGTAAAGGTCATCGATGGCGGAGTCGTGAAGGCAAGGGACGTGGATTCATTCCTAAAGAAGGAAGACAACCGTGTCAAATAGACTCGCGTGACATAGAAAATGAAGAGCTCAGAAGGCGGATCCAGGATTTGAAGCGATTACTTGTGGAAGCGCAGAGCATGAAAATCCAATTTTTGGAGCGACTACTTGTGCAAGCGTAGAGCAGGAAAATTGAAGATTTGGAGCGACAACTCGTGAGGGCCCATATCGAAAATCCAAATTTTGAAGCGACAACTTGAAAGAGCGTCCCTCCTCCAACTTGAGAAGCGTCTACTCATAGAAACATGTCTTTTCTGTCTAACTTCACTAAAATCATGGCAATGCATTTCTCCAAGATCATTTTTTGTTTCTGGTCACAGGTCTTCCATGTTGCCCCTTTTTGGCAACTTGGTGTATTATGAACATGTCATGATTACTAAAATCCATCTATAGTTTCTATTTTTCTAATTTGTTCAGTTTGTCTTTTAGGACACATGTAGTGATATTTATATCTGCATCTATAAACTTGAGTGATAAATCTGCTTTGTCTGTTTGACAGTCACTAGCAGTTGTTACGCTTGGAGATAAGCAAATGGCGCAGAAAATAGACAATCTTATAGATGTTGATGAATTCAAGAGGTTCTATCTCCAGGTCTCTTTAGAACATGACTACTTTATCTTCTCTATATTTAGTGTGTTTTTCATCTATTCTGAGCAATGTTTGCAAAACCAAAATGCACTGGCTGGCTTTACTCTTGAACCAGTTGTTTGTCAAGTTCAGTTCATGATTAGAACTGGAGATGCGAAATTGCGAAGGGCCAAGATAAAAACAGACTGAACTGCCTTTCAGCAGGTCCAATCAATTCTCAGTTGATGACATGACACTGGCAGCATTGAATGCTCCATGTCACCATTGAAATAAATGCCTAGGAGCTAGGGGAACCAGATGGGGAATCGGACCTTGTCTCCTTTGGTTAAGTGGAAATGATGGCAACTGCTAACCATTTTGTTCTGTTGGTGTTTTTAGAGCAATGCTTTTTTCTTATTTTATACTTAGTTTTACAAAATTATTTCTATATAATTAAAATAAATAATTAAATAGAAAATCTGATAATTTTGAAATTTACTTTTTATTTATGAATTTTTATTTAATTTAATTCCAATGGTGCCTCAAATAATTTTAAAGGTTTTGTTTTCCATAATTAAGGAAAATCAGTAATTTAGGAAACTATTTTTTTCTTCATTTTGTTATGTTGTCTTTTTGCTTTCTTATTCATGTATAAAACCAACACCCCGGATCATAATTTTTCTCTAAATACAATTTGAAAACTAACCAAGTTTTTGTTTTCTTCTAAGATCTTCAATGACGTGATAATTCATTAAATTAAAACTAAGCCTGCAATGGAAGCACTGTCTTGCCCATATTTTTACTTTAATATTATTTTTCTTTAAAATTTTCAGAATGCAAATTGTTGTGACTAGCTCAGTAAAATTTGCAGTATTCATTTCCTCCTTCATGTGTCGGGGAAGTTGGCCGGATTGGTGCACCAAGTAGAAGAGAAATTGGTCATGGGATGCTTGCTGAGAGATCCCTTGAACTAATTTTGCCTTCTGAAGATGATTTCCCTTACACTATACGCGTTGAGAGTACTATCACAGAAAGCAACGGCTCTTCAAGGTGAGTTTTCATTTTTATCTTTCTAAGTTCCAATAGAAATTTTTTTTAAGCAACGGTACCAAGTTTCATTTTTATCTTTTCAATTTAAGTTCCCTTACATTCTTTGATTTTGTCGTCAATATTCTCATAGAAACAGTGAGGATTGAATGAAGTTGTATGTGTTAGGCTACACATGTTTTGGTATTTAGAGATTAATTTGCAAACAGAGAGTAATCAAATGACTATGTGTTAATCACAAACTAATCTCTAGCATAATAATTATTCACGGAGTGATCTAATCTAATCAACATTAATACAGTTGACTTTGCATTTACAGATGTGCTAAATCTAATACTTCCCTTCAAGCTGAAGCATATATATCATATGCACTAAGTTTGTTACAAATAAAGTCAACCCAAGCACGACAAACTCTAAGAAAGTTCCTTAGTATATTGGCTAGCTGATTGGAGTTAACACAGCCAATAGTAATAGCTCCTGGAAGCACCTTTTCGCTAACAATCATGAAAAATGACAGCTTGGTTGTCGCGGATTAGCTTCATTAACTTGACCTTTTCCGATTCAATTGCTGAAGTAATTGATTTAACCATGCATGTTCTCATATTCCTGTTGCCATAGACTGATATTCAGCCTCTTCCTGCATGTAGCAACTACATTAGTTTTCTTAACTCGTTTATTGACTTGAAAAACAGGGTTGGAAGCAATATAAGACAGCTTGGTTGTCACATATTAGCTTCATTAACTTCACCTTTTTCGATTCAATTGCTGTAGTAATTAATTTAACCATGCATGTTCTCATACACCTGTTGCCATAGACTGATATTCAGCCTCTTCCTGCATCTAGCAACTGCATTAGTTTTCTTAACTCATTTATTGACTTGATTTGGGTAGAAACTAAGAATATGTTTTCACAAGGCTCATTCGAATATTGCCAATTTAGAAAGACTAGTTCCCATGCTTTTATGTAGGCTAAGATGTACCAAAGTGGATGAATGATGGCTGGGGACTCAATAGTACAAGTCTGGGAGTTTTTGGTATAGTGAGGTCATGCAGCCCTCAAGACTCGCACCCTACTGCAATCGTTCTTTTGGTTCCTCAATGACGTACAAGAACTGAATCATTGGGAAAGATAACAGAATAAGGCAGTTCTTTTGGTTCCTCAATGACGTACAAGAACTGAATCATTGGGAAAGATAACAGAATAAGGCAGCTTAGGACTGAGTCTGCTGATGGGGATATGATGAAATATGATTTATGAATAATTTTTCATGTATTACTTTGAGACCTAAAGGGTTCCTTATATACAGGTTACAATTGTAGAGTTGAAAAAAGAGACAATCGTATTGATAAAAATTGTATATTACATCTGTACAATTGCTCTCTATTTAAAGAGACTAAATAACCTAATGGGCTAAGCCCAAAGAAGATTATAGAATGGAAATAAATAAATAAATAAATAAATAAACAAATACAATTATTTAAACACTCCCTCTCAAGCTAAGGAATAGATATTTATCATTCCCAGCTTGTTAGTCAGTTCTTGAAACCTTTCTGAGGGAAGTCCCTTTGTTAGAATATCAGCTAATTGACGTCCAAAAGGGATGTATGGAGTGGTGATCAACCTGCTATCAAGCTTCTCTTTGATAAAATGGCGATCGACCTCAATGTGCTTAGTCCGATCATGTTGAACTGGATTATGAGCTATACAAATGGCGGACTTATTATCGCAAAACACCTTCATATGTCCTTCACATCTTATTTTAAGATCACCAAGTATAATTCTCAACCACAATAATTCACAAATGTCTTGAGGCATAACTCGAAATTCAGCCTCAGCACTCGATCTGACAACCATGTCCTGCTTCTTACTCCTCCATGTCACTAGGTTACCACAAAGAAACATACAATAACCAGTGGTAGATCGACGATCAATTACGGATCCAGCATAATCAACATCGGTATAAACTTCTAAAGAGAGATTGCCATTACGCTGGAACAACAGTCCTTTATCAGGAGTGGCTTTAAGATACTGAAGAATTCTCTCCACTGTCTGCATGTGTTTTTCTTTTGGATTATGCATGAACTGACTTATAATATTGACAGCATAAGCAAGATTTGGTCTAGTATGAGCCAAATATATCAGTCTCCCAACTAACCGCTGATATTGTCCTTTATCAACTGAAGGACTCTCCTCTTCATAACCCATCTTGTGATTCTGCTCAATAGGAGTATTAAAGGGTTTACACCCAAGTTTTTCCGCTTCTTTAAGAAGATCAAGGACATATTTCCTCTAGCTGATAAAAATTCCTTCCTTTGAATGAGCTACCTCTCCCTAGGAAATATTTCAATCTCCCAAGATCTTTAATTTCAAACTCAGAGGTTAGCCGTGCTTGTAGAAAATGTTTCTCTGTAATATCATCATCTGTTCTAATAATATCATCAACATACAAGGAAGCACGGACACTCCAAAAAACAGGAAGTGTCGTGTCCGACACGCTCCGACACGCCGACACGTTTCGACACAGTGTCCGACACTTGGTCAACATTCTCGACATGTTGACCATTTCGACACGCGAATTTAAATGTGTCCGACACGGTCAAAAAACATTTTCGTAAAAAAATTTTAAAAAAAAAATTATTTTTTTAAAAATTGAAATATTAATTATTAATAAAGCTTCCACTTGATCATATCAATTTTATTTTATTTTTTCTTTTTTTCCCTTAAGTAGATAAGAGATCATCTCAGCATCATTGTTATCAATTCCTATTACGCTTTTGCTGTATCTCCTTCTCTCTGATCTCTCTCTCTCTCTCTCTAATTTGATTTGATCTCTCTATCTGATATTATCTCTCTCTCTCATCCCAGTTCCTGTTTTTTTTATTAAAGCTTTCCACCTTTATAACGTGTTGATGGGTATTATTAATTTAGTTTCATTTTTTTGTTAAATTATTGAATATTAAATAAAATGTACGCTATATAAATTAAAAATATTATTTAATATTAAAACGTGCCCCAACGTGTCGAAATCCATATTTTTTTAAGATTGACTTGTCGGAGTGTCGTGTCGTGTCACGTGTCGTATCGGTGCTACATAGTCAACATATACAAGTCAATCTCCCAAGATCTTTAATTTCAAACTCAGAGGCTAGCCGTGCTTATAGAAAATGTTTCTCCGTAGTATCATTTGTTATAATATATCATCAACATATACAAGGAGCACAGCTAGCTTCCCATCTTTGGAGCGCTTGAAGAATAGTGTGTGATCTCCTTGACTTTATTTATATCCTAAGGCCAACATAACCTTAGTAAATCTCCCGAGATCTTTAATTTCAAACTCAGAGGCTAGCCGTGCTTATAGAAAATGTTTCTCCGCAATATCATCATCTGTTATATTAGTGTATAAGGATAGGGATATTTCTGTAAATAGTCAATTGGCTTAGTGGCTTAGCTTTATTGTAATAGTAACAACTGTGCTGTTACAAACAGAATTAGGTGACGTGGCTGTAACGTAGCTGTATGTTCTCTTTATATAAGAGATTTCCATGTACTGTTTACTTAGATAACAAAGATATGAAATACACAAGCTTTCTCATCTCTCCCTCTCTCTTCCTTTTCTCTCATCTGATTCAGATCTCGTTTATGGTATCAGAGCTCTCCTTGAGGGCCTGATACAGATCGCATCTCACTATGTCTTCCGCTTCGAAATCTTCGTCACCGTCACCATCTCCTTCTCCTTCGATGATCGGAAACACAACCGGAAACGCTTCGACCGAGAATCGCTCGTCTTCTCCCTCGCTATTCAGCCACCAAATCTCTGTTAGACTAATAGAGAGCAATTTTCTTCTCTGGAATCAGGTTGTGGAACCTGTAATCACCTCTCATCAACTTCAACATTTTCTTGTTAATCCTAAAGTACCGCTTCAGTTTGAATCGGAGCAAGATCGCGTTGATGGAGTAGTCAATCATTTGTACACTGAGTGGCTTCGTCAAGATCAGATGCTTCTCTCATGGATTCTTTCCACTATTTCAGAAGAATTTCTGAATGAAATCCCTGGAGTTAGCCATGCATATGAAGCTTGGGAGCAGATCCATAAGTTTTTTGAAGGAATGATGAAGTCAAGAGCTCACCAGCTCAGATCTGAGCTTCGTACCATCAAGAAAGGTGGTAGATCTGTAGCTGAGTATCTTAAACGTATTAAGTCTCTCTGTGATGAATTAAAAGCTATTAAAAGTGCAATTCCTGTTGATGAACAAACTGAACTGATACTTGCCGGTCTTCTTGCTGAATTTAATGCCTTTGTCACCTCTCTCAGAATACGTGAGAATCCTTATTCACTCAATGATCTGCGAGTTGAACTGATGTCTCATGAAATGATGCTTGCACGACAAAATGAAGCTCTTCTATCTGATTCAATCACTGTGAATGTTGTGCAAAAGATTTCTTCTGATTCAAAAGTAGCAAACAGACCTGAATTAGCACCTGTAAGGTCTTCTCTTAATGTTGTAGAATCAAATCTGGATCCAAATACATATAACCAGAGGTCATATGGTCCAAACTATGGAAGAGGCAGAGGTAGATCCTATACTCGAAGCAACAGAGGAGCTAGAGGTCGTGGACGTAGCAATGTTCAATGCCAGCTTTGTTATAAATTTGGTCATGGAGTTTAGAGCTGCTGGTACAGATTTGATGAGAACTTTGTACCTGAACTCTCTCCACCAGCAGCTCCTCAGTACTTTCCATCAGCACAACCCTCGTTTCAGAGGCCATATCAGTATATCAAACCTACTGCTCCTCATCAACCTCAAGCCTTGGTAACCAATCTTCAACCTCAAGCATTGCTAACTGCCATTCCAACTCAAGGACAAGGTCTTCTTCCCACTCCTTCACATGTTCAAGCAATTGAGTGGTATCCAGATTCTGGTGCATCTCATCATGTGACTGCCAATCCTCAAAACCTGTTGCAAAGCACACAACTGTCTGGTGCTGATCAGGTTTACATAG